ATGCGGCTTATAGAACTACTTAGAGAAGAAGGGACACTAGCCTGGCCAACAAGCATCAGCTGAGTCAGCACTGACATTGAGTGGGGTGATAAGTGTCATAGTCATATGACTGTCACATCACACCTCTCAGCATATTAAAGCACATTATGTTATTATATATAATTATGTATAATAATATCAACAGTTGTCAAATGGCATTGATAAAATTCAGCAGCCATTTCTAAATCAAATCTTTAAATAGAATACTGAAACATCATAAAGACTGTTTATCAAAACTAAGAAAAATTATCAAATGCTGAAGTTCTGTTCATTAAAATTCAGACTAAGACAGTAATACTATTACCAGTGTTATTCATCATAGCTTTTGAGGTCCTAGCTAATTCAATAATATATAGAAATGAATTATTAGTTTATGTGTTGGAAAGGAAGAGATACAGTCATCATCTTTGCAGATGATTATGATTGTGTACCCAGAAAACCCAAGAGATTAAAAAAAAAAAACCTAGCATAATTAAAAAGAAATTTTGGTAAGACAGTAGAGGGATATAAAATAAATATACAAAAATCAATATTTTTTCTATACTATCAATAACAAATTAGAATTTAGGAAATAAATTGAACTAGGAATTAGAAATAGGAAAGTGAAAAAATAACTCATTTATAATAGCAGAAACATTAAAATACCTACAAAATAAATTTAGCAGGAAAGGTACAGGGCCCATATAAAAAAAATTATAATACTTTATAAAGGACATAGAACAATAATATCTAACACTTATATAGCACTTACCCTATATCAGTCACTGTTCTAGACACATTACATATGCTTTGCATATGCCTTATTCATTTATTCTTCACATCAGCCTCATAAGGAAGGTACTATTACTATTATCATTCTTCTGAGGCCCCAAAAAGTTTGTTAGTTTGCCTAGGGTTACACAACTAAGATCTGAATCATATGTCAGTTTTTCCAAAGCAGAGATTTAAGAGAATCTCAATTATTTTTAACAGGTGAAATTTCTCACTGTCTCTATGGAGATTAAAAGTCCAAAAGTAATAAATCAATTGTGGGAAAAAAAAGAGTGATGAGTCTAGAAATAAATCCATGTCTGGATTATTACTTCAATTGGAAATGTATGGTTTATTTAATAAATGATGCAGATAATTGACAGTCCTTCTGAAGGAAAAAGGAGTCCTGGTGGCACAGTGGTTAAAGTGATCGACTGCTAACCGAAAGGTTGGCGGTTCGAAACTACCAGCAGCTCCATGGGAGAAAGATGTGGCAGTCTACTTCTGTAGAGATTTACAGCCTCAGAAGCCCTATGGGGTTGCTATGAGTCAGAAGCAACTCTGCAACAGTAGGTTTTGTGGGGTTCTGAAAGAAAACAGTCAGACCATTTACTTACCATATACAGAAATAATATAGGAAACCCTGGTGACATGGTTAAGAGCTATGGCTGCTAACCAAAAAGTCAGCAGTTCAAATCCACCAGGTGCTCCTTGGACACTCTATGGGGCAGTTTTACTCTGTCCTATAGGATCGCTATGAGTCGGAATTGACTCACGGCAATGGGTTTGGGTTTTTTTTTTTTTTTTTAACTACAGAAATAAGTTCCAGGTGGATTATAAATATTTAAATGAAAAAAATAGCAATTTTAGAAAAGAATTTTAGAAAAATATTTGTATAAACGTGGTGGGCGAACCTTGCCTAAAGCAAGAAAGAAAACCCTGAAGCCATAAAGGGTTTTTTTAAAATTAAGGCAATGTACACTATAACCAAAAATCAGAAAACAATATTATTTTGTAGAAAAAGTGTTTGCAACGCAAATGACAAAGTGTTAATTCTCCTTCTAAAGAAAGAGCACTATAAATTAATAAGAGAAAGATAATCTAATAGAAAATAGGTAAATGTTACGAGAGGCAAATCATTGAAGAAGAAATTCAGTAGACTAATACACATGTGAAAGGATGTCCAGTTTTATTGTTAATTTGGAAATTTCGAATTAACACAATAGTGAGATATAATTTTTCATCCATGAGGAAATTTAGAGAAGTTAGAATGTATGTAGATGTGTGTGGTCTCATGTATTGCTGGTGAGACTTTGAATTGATACTTTTTTTGGAAAGTAGTCTGGCAATATATAGTCCAACTAAAGATACATACAGCCTTTGCTTGCAATCTTACCTTTACAAATTTATCCCATAGATACAAAAGTATAAGTGGATGTTTATTACAGCATTAGTTGTAGGGACAAACAACTAGAAACAACCTGAGCATCCAACTATAGGGGGAATGATTAATAAATTATGATACATCTATATAACAGCTTTTAAAATATCAAGGTATATGAAGCTATTAAAAAGAATGTTAGATGTACGTTTGTTAACATAAAACCAAAAACCAAACCCGCTGTTGTTGAGTTGATTCCGACTTATAGCAACCCTATAGGACAGAGTAGAACTGCCCCATAGGGTTTCCAAGGAGCAGCTGGTGGATTCAAACTGCTAACCTTTTGGTTAGCAGCTGAACTGTTAACCGCTGTGCCACCAGGGCTCCATAGAAAGATAATTATGACATACCGTTAGTTAGACAGGCTAACTAGTATGATTCCATTTTATGTTAAAAAGAAAATAACAACCACCAAAACTCCTAAATATGATTTTGTATATTTTAGAAGCATGGAGAAAGGTGTGGAAGAATACAAATTACAAATAACACTATAAATAGGATACAAAATAAAATTAGTTACTTTAGGAAAGTGAACTGGAGAGAGAAAAGATTATACCTTTTTCTTTACTGCTTAAGATTGTTTCACTTATTTTAATGTCATAGGTAGCTGCACATATGACACAGTGGCTGCAACAATGGGCTCAAGCATTACAACAATTGTGAGGATGGTGCAGGATCGGGCATTGTTTCATTCTGTTGTACGTAGGGTCGCTATGAGTTGGAACCAACTCAGTGGCACCTAACAACAACAACAACATATTTATTTGTAATTTTAAACTTTTTTTTTTTCTTTTTAAGACATAACTCTAAAGTCCTTAGCTTTTGCACTCCTTCTACTAGAAAAAGTTAAAGTGCAATACTAGGCCCTTTGTCAGTTGGTGGGGATTGGCATTTGAATCTGATGCTCACTGTTTCTGCCTTTAAGGACCTTGCATTCTAGCCAGATTCAACAGATGTATTCAGTAGATACAATGGAAGGTAAATAGCAAAATAATTTTGCTTTAGTTAACAAATCAAAACATCATGAATGACAACGAAACTAGGCTTTTTATTAAAATTAAATCAATCAAAAATAGCCAGCAAGTGCCCAGATTATCTTTAGGCAAAGAGCACTTTGACTTAAACCAGAGAACTGTTATTAAATGTCTTTAAAGATTAAGAAATCATATTTCAGGAAATGTAGGATCAGATATCATCCTGTCAAGGCAGCTACATGTAATGGATATTGCCCCTGATCCCAGAAGGCCTTGTCCCACAAATCTTACTTGTTTGGGAGAATGTCTTCAGAAAGTATCTTACAGAATGGTATTTACTAATAGAGTGTCTGGATATGAGTAGAGACCAGGGCTAAGGTGTATAAGAGACAAATGGAGGAATTTGTAGGAATACAGGGTTTGGGTAAAGCAGAGACGATATTTACATCTCTCTACAGCACAGCTGCTACCCACATGATCCCTACCTTCATGCCTAATGTCCTTTCTGACTGTCAGCCTGATGCTTAACTGCAGTCTCAAGTCTGTCTTCCCCTCTTCCCTCTTTCCTTCCTTGCTCTCCTCTTTTCTCCCTTGTTTTCGCCTTGTCTCCCTTCTATTTCTTGTCTCTATTAAAAAAAGCATTCATTTAATCTCGTCATTATACAGACTTAATCAGACTTTATAGTTTTATTGAACCATAGTCTAATATAAGAAAACTGACTTCTTTGAGATGCTATATGATTGCTTTTCTTACCAGGGATGATTTGTATGTTTAAATTTTTAATTTGTTAATAATTTAGGTATTAAAAAGGTAGGATAGTCCTACTGGGTTTTTATATAGGTCCTTGAGCTAGGTTTCCTAGGATCGAATCTTACTAGCCTTGGATAGAAAGTTACTTTTTCTCCCTGGGCTTCAGTTTCTCAAATGTAAGTGGGAATAATGTCACTGACCTACTTCACTGTGTTGATATGGGATTAAATGAGTTTACTCATGTAAAGTGTGTAAAACAGTACTTGGTGTCTCATAAGTGCTTGATAAGTACTGTATTCACTAAAGTTAAATTATAGTTAATCAATTTAGCAAACATGGATTGAATTATGTCCCCCAAAAAATGTGTGTATCAATTTGGCTGGGCCATGATTTCCAGTTTTGTGTGGTTGTCCTCCATTTTGTGATTGTAATTTTATGTTCAAGAGGATCAGGGTGGGATTGTAACACCCTTACTAAGGTCACATCCCTGATCCAATGTAAAGGGAGTTTCCGGGGTGTGGCCTGCACCATCTTTTATCTTACAAGAGATAAAAGGAAAGAGAAACAAGCAGAGAGTTGAGGACCTTATACCACCAAGAAAGCAGTGCCAGCAGCAGAGCACGTCCTTTGGACCTGGGGTCCCTGTGCGGAGAAACTCCTAGTCTGGGGGAAGATTGATGAGAAGGCTGACGGAGAGAAAAAGCCTTCCCCTGGAGTCAGCACCCTGAATTTCGACTTCTAGTCTACTGGACTGTGAGAGAATAAATTTCTCTTTGTTAAAGCTATCCACTTGTGATAGTTCTGTTACAGCAGCACTAGATGACTAAGACAAATACCTACCAGATGCCAGACCTTATCCTAAGTCATGGGGATAGGTATATTTATTGAGCATTGACTATTAGCCAGGTATGGAGGATGTAGCAATAAACATAAAGTCCTTACCCTCTTAGAGTTTATAATATTAATGATTATTATTTATTAAAGTTTGAGGCTGATTTTATAAATGTGACTGACCTTAAATTTTTTTGTTTGCTTTTAAATTTAGGATATCTTGTATTATGAGCAGCTCAAGGCCAATGTGATACAACATGACCTTTTGGTGGACAGTCTAATATATAAA